GTGAACCGATTCAACTAATTCATCACAAAGATCCGACTCAAAAGAACGATTCAATCCGTCGCTACTAGGTAGGCAGTACTAGGCACTAGGAGGCTCACAGTGTTTTGAAACACAGCCGGTGTCTGAGCATGTGCTGTTACTGCTGCAGTGGAGTAAAATATGTCAGTTATCACCGGACAGGAGCGAGAGGAGAGAGAGAGGCGGGTACAAATGCACTCTGAGAGGCAACCGGTGCAACGGTTCTCTGTAGAATTCTATTGTTTTACACCAAAATGAGGCCCGGCTCCTCTTGATCTACAGCGGCGGAAGAATAATACGGTAAGTCTCGCCGGCTTTTTGGTGTTTCAGTAAACCCGTTTGGGTTTCCTGCCTGGGTTATCCCACAATGTACGCGTGACAGAGTCAAAGTAAACCGGTACCATTCAGTGCACCTTTCTGAATGTTTTCTCGGGCATCAGCTCGCTGTTTATACGGACTTTTATTATCATCATCATCTAAATAGGCAAACGAGGAAGTATGCTGCCATCTCCATCGCTCATTTCATCCAAAACGCACTCATTTGCGCTGAAATCTTTAATTTCGAATGAACTTGCTAAAGTTTGACCATTTGCGATGCTGATTCTGCCCATATCGTTTCTTAGTGGTCAGATACGGTAACGATTGGGAACTTTATTTAACGTCGTTTTTTAAAACTAGGATAACTAGGAAGCGCGGTGCTCCAGATTCATACTGTTATAAAAGCATAGTTTTGTTGTTTCATACAGTGTGATTACAGTTGTGTCTGGGCAGCGCTGCAGTGGTCGGTTGTCATGGAGGCCTGCGCTGCGCATCCGAACAGCGCAGCTGTCACGACTGCGGTATATTCCGTCTCATAAGATAAACCCTCAAATGCACACATATCCCAAACAATTCCTATTAACATATCAGATGCTAAATAAAGCTGCATCATATTTGATGACACTTCAGAAATAGACAGTATTTGTGACTAAACACATCAAAGAGTACCAAGTTCTTCACACATATTGGGTCACTGTCTATAAACAGACCTTTGGCACTGGCACCTGACTTCTCCCCTCCTAGTCAACTACTACTATACAGCCGGGTACAGCGTATATAAATATGATACTTGCCCTTTAAGAGGTCGTTCCGGGATAGTTTGGATGGCTCAATATTTACTACGCTGACTCTGTCCTCATATTTCATAGCAGCGCTAAGCTGAAGCCCCACTTACATCAGCAGCGCGGGATCAAAGACATTCAAAGCTGACTTGATTAAAACTGGGGATTTAGTGTTTATTGTGGCAGATCAGTTCCACTGCACTACATGCAGTTTAACTTGTCCACATCTCAATCTTTCTTCTCAAAATAGCGTTTAAGATGTGTAATTACGGTTGTCATTATTTCATTCTTCGTGGTGGAATCAAGTCTTGCCGTGTCAGTCTGTTTTAACATCACTGTGGCTTGGTGCAGTCATGTGACTAACCCTCTCTATTAAGGCTCAGAAGTTGTTAATCTTTTGGCACTGGCCCATGTCTGGGACATACTTGTGGTCCTTCGGGGTAAGAATTTTGAGCTCTTGGCCTGCTTCATAATCACTTGAAGTAAAAAAGTATATAACAGGCCCGTCTACAGAGCGGGACTGGGTGGTCCTGATACAACATGAGCTTGGCCCACACAGTTTTAGTTTCAGTTAACAATAACAACTCTAGTGGCTCTATCCGTGTCAAATCAACCAAAATTCATAAACTTCCCCGGCGCAAATTATTATTTTTTTGTCAATATTGTTTTATGAAGAAAGACAAACATAAATAATGTTGAAAGCCAAAATATTAAATGTCATTGTCATGGATGTATACTTACTGAATAATCCACTATTTTGTGGAGGGTGGTCAAAATGACAATTTTCACCTGAGAAGTTACAGGAGGGGGGTAAAAATTACTTCCATTAGTAGGTCCATTTATGTCCATTAGTAAAATCTGTTGACTTTAGTAGTCTTTGCTCCATTATATGCCAACGGTGACAGTTCAAAAATGGGAAAAAGCACTTCTCTTATTCTCTTAATCTCTTATTATCCTTTTAGATTCTGGTTCTTAACAAACTTTTCTTTTGTTATCCATATTTTTAAGGCCCAATATTGTTCAATTCCAAAGATATTGATACCTCAATGTGGCTCTAAGAGTAAATTGTTAAATTGTACACATTTTCAATGCTTAAAAACCAAACGTGGGTCACTTTTCTTACAGCTGATACTTTGTTTCTTTAAAAGAGGAACAGCTGAAGAACAGATAATGTTGAAGCTACAAATTGTATCTCGTTTATTTCTGTCAAACAACATTCCTGGGTGCCATAATATTGTTTTTCAGACATTTGCATACCTGTAAAGTTAAAAATATGAAAGATATCTCAATATGATTTTAGTTTCCGGATATTAACAAACTTGTCTTTTGAAATCTTAAATTTCAAGGCCCTGTGTGGTTCAATCCCAAAGATATGGGGATCTTAATGTCCATGGCTCCATTTTCAATTTGTTGAATTTTTACCCATTTTCAATGGTCGAAACCTGAAAGTGAGTCCCTTTGCATAGCTGATATTTATTGTATTTAAAGGGAAATGTCTGAAGAATAAATAATGTTGGAACTAGAAATGGATCTGGTTTCCCTCTATGAAAACAATTGCATAGAACATACCCGTCTGAGTGCAAAAAATCTACTGAAATGGTTGAGGCACATTAACTTGCTCTCAAAAGTAAGAATCTATATTTGAATAAGTTTCAGGTATTTTTGGAAGAAGGGATTTTGTTCATTTTAACAGCTTCTGAAGCTTTCAAGAGTTTAAATATGCAGTATTGTAACTACATGTTATATAGGTCCTTGAAAAAAATGAAGATTCTAAAAGAAAAGTTTCATGGAACAAGAATCTACAATTATATTATAAGATATATTTAGTACTTCATGAGTTACAGACATGCAAACTTCAGAAAAATACTTTTTTGGCACTCAGAGAGGTATGATAGAGGGAAACGATACATTTCTAGTGTCATTATTATTTAATCTTTCAGACATTCTTCTTTAAACACAATAAGAATCAGCTATTTGAAAAGTTACCCACATTTGGTTTTTGACCATTAAAAATGGGTATAATTCAACAATTTGGACATGGAGTTGCCTGGGATCCCCATATCAATGGGATATAACCATATTTACCACGTTTACAAAAGAAAAGTTTATTAAGAATGAGAATATTGAGATATCTTTAATACTTTTTGAGTTAAGGGTGCGCAAACTTCGGAAAAACAATATTTATGGCACTCAGACAGGAATGTTCTATGCAATTATGTTGATAGAAAAAAAAAACAAGATACATTTCTAGTTTCAAAATTATTTGTTCTTCATATATTCCTCTTTAAAAGAAAATAGTATTTGTTTTTTGACCACTGAAAACATGTACAATTTACCAATTTACTCATGGAGCCATATTGAAATCCCCATATCCCTGGAAATGAACCATATTGGGCCTTAAAAATTAGATACCAAAAAGAAAAAAAAAGGTTAAAAACCACAATTTAAAAAAGAATATTCAGAGATCTTTAATATTTCTTGAGTAACAGGCATGTAAACTTTGGGCAAAAACACAAGTAGTGCTTTTTCCCATTTTTTCTTAACTGTCACCATTAATGCAGCAAAGATTGTTTAAGTCTCAAGATTTTACTAATAGACCTACCAATCGCTAAAAAGATGGCAGCATCATTATTTTATTTTTTTAAAGTAATTTTTATCCCCCTGTAATCTGGCTCCAAATCGCAGGTGAAAATTATCATTTTGACCCCCCTCCAATAATAGTGGATTTCTCAAAAATGATCAAAATAAATTTTTTTAGCCGGGACCTCTGGTTGAGTCGACACGGTATGACCTACATGACTAGGCTATATATATTGGAATCTGAAAATCACAAATCATAATTATTTTGCCACTCCCAATTACTAACAGCTTTCAGCTATTGTTATCCATTATGTTTCATTTGTGCCTGATTAGGTGCATTAAACACGCTAATGAGTGAAACGCAGGTTGAATTGTCTGCCTCATGCTGAAGAATTTAATGAAACTCAACTGGTTCTGCCTCCCTCTGAAACATGATCATCACTTAACAGATCTTAGGAGGCTTATCAGCAGCACTGCTCATACCTGATGAGAAGAATGAAGGCTGTGTGCGGCCTGGAGCCAAGGTGCTATCTAGAGTAACTGAGCTGTGTGCGCTATTGATCCATTGCCATTTAAATTTGTGCAGAGTGTAGTGAACTCGTGGCAGGAGACCAGAGCTCTCAGTCACCTCTAGAAATTGCGGCAGTAAGAATGCATCAGAGCCGGTCATACCAGTGCGGCAAAGGAGAAAGTTATAGTATATTGTCCCTGTCATTGATGCGCCATTGTTCTCTTGGGAGGTGCGTGGTTGAAATTGACAAAGGAAGGACAGAGTAAAAACAAACCGGGATAGTGTAGCCTTTATTATGTCTGAAATGATCATAGTACTCAAATAGGCACTTAAAGGGACAGTTCACAAAAAAAAAGATATTTAGTAAAATGTTCAAGCTGCTCATCTATGTAGTGGAAGCAACAACCAGGGGCTGTCACCATAAAAGTAGTCCATATGTCCGTCCGTGTGTGCTGTAAGTCTTATTAAATAAGTTATTTTAGTATTATTTACACTATATATATTATAATATTTATTACTATTTTGAATTAGCTTTTATTTTTATATTTTCATTTTAGCTTTTTTTGTTGTAATTTTTGTGTTTTTATTTGTTTATTTTTATTTTAGTTGGCCAGGCAACATTTGTAAGTACACAGCCGTCCACGTGATGTAAAAGAAAACAGGACTCTTTGGACCAGGCGACCTTCTTTCACTGCTTCAAGGTCCATTTGTAAGGGCGTTCGACCGGTGGACAGGGGTCATCATAGGCACTCTGCGGCTACGCATCCCCATACGCAGCAGAGTGCGATGCACTGTGTGTTGACACATTCCTCCCATAACCATCATTAAAATTTTGTGTGACTTGTGCCACAGTAGATCGACCTTCTGTTGGCTCAGACCGGACGGGATAGCCTTCATTGCTCTTGTGCATCGATGAGCCTTGGGCACGATGAACATCGATGAACACCCTGTCGCCGGTTTGTGGTTTGTCCCTGCTGACCGGGCGCAACCCACAAGCCTTGCCGTTTCAGAGGTACTTTGACCCAGTCGCCTTGCCATAACAATTTGGCGCTTGTCAAAGTCCCTGGCTTCAGATCTTTATTCCTGTCCATTTCTCCTGCATCCAACATGTTGATTTCGAGGACCGATTGTTTGCTTACCATCTAATCTAATATGTGGCCTTGTTAGGGGATGATCAATGATATTCGTTTCACCTGTGACTGGTCATATTGTTTTGGCTCATCACTGTATATTTTATTTTATTTCAGCTTTATTTAAATGACCGAAAATGGTAATGGCTGTTTTGGGTTCAGTACAAGTTAAGCTTAATCAACAGAACTTGATGAAGTGGAAATTACTTTTTGTGGTAATCAACATTGTTTTCTTTTAAAAAAGCAAAAATCTGGGTTACAGTGCTGAGGCACTTACTGGAAGTGAATGGGGTCAATCTGTAAACTTTGCACAAGTTCACACTTATAATTGAATAGACTAAAGAGCATGCATAGTATGCATGCGTACTGTCCGGGGAAGGGCTCTGAGCTCGGAATGTGGCCCGAACCCAGAGTACTTCCCCTCCCCTCCTCATCCATGACTGGGAGAGGAACAGTTGAGAGTGAGGAGTTTGAGTGGAGGAGGGATACTGGGTCATGGGACAGAGGTGAGTTGGCTATTTATAAATGGGCCTAATCGCTCTGATTGGGTAGATTATCTGAACGTTCTCCTCTCGAACTGTGTTTATAAAACATCATTAAAATACTCACAATTTCAATTGTGTTACAAGATGTAAACAATATGAGTGTAAAGATGGTTTTAGTGAAATAAATCACTAACCTGCTCTTTGTAGTTATATACACTACCGTTCAAAAGTTTGGGGTCGGTACGATTTTAAATACTTTTAAAAGAATTCTCTTCTGCTAACCATGGCTGCGCTTATTTGATTAAAAATACAACAAAAATCAGTTATAGTATTAAATATTATTCCAGTGTAAATCAGCTGTTTTCTGTGTGAATATATAGTAAAGTGTAATTTATTCCTGTTATCAAAGCTGAATTTTCAGCATCACCAGTGTCAGTGTCTTCAGTGTCAAATGATCCTTCACAAATCAGTATAATATGAGGATTTGATGCTCAAGAAACATTTATTATTATTATCAATGTTGAAACAGTTGTTGGTCTGTCAGTTGTACAGTTTTTTGTTGTTTTTTTAGGATTCTTTGATGAATAGGAAGTTCAAAAGACTTTTGTAACATTATAAATGTCTTTACTGTCACTTTCGATCAAATTAATTATTCCTTGATAAATAAAAGTATTGATTTCTTTCCTACAAAAAATAAAAATAAAATTCTCACTGACCCCAAACTTTTGAACGGTAGTGTATATAATTTTCAAACTAAACTTCCAAACCTCACAACCCCTCAAAAACTGTAAAAAATAATTTGAACCGCTTTGCAGCTCAAACAATTAACAGAAGAATCAATATAAGTGCTTTTAAGTAAAAGTGAAAGTGACATGACGTGAAGGCCAAGTATGGTAACCCATACTCGGAATTTGTCCTCTGCATTCAACCCGTTCAAGTTAGTGCACACACATTACGATCAGTGTGTAGTGAGCACACACACACACACACACACACACTGCAAACCGTGGACACACACACCCAGAGCAATGGGCAGCCATTTGCTGCAGCGCCCGGGGAGCGATTGGGTGTTAAGTGCTTTGCTCAAGGGCACTTCAGTCTTTTTCTGCCGGTATTGAGAATCGAACCCGCAGCCTTCAGGTTACCAGTCTGACCAACCATTAGCCCACGACTGCCCCCTGCCTTTTACAAAATAAGCGTTACATTTCTGCTTTCAAGTCCTACTAATATCTTGCCCATTCACTTCCATTGTAAGTGCCTTATTTCAGCTTTTTTATTAAAGAAAATTAGGGATAAATAATGGTTTGTGGTAATCAACCTAATGCCACGAAGGCTGTCGATTGAGCATTATTTGCTGAAACTGTCTATTTATTCAAATTTGGTGCACATTCTTACTGCACACTTCATGAACTTCAATTTCATGTATTTTGCCCTCACTGAAAGACAATTTCTTCAACCAGTTCCTCTTTTTATTGGTTGCACATTACACAATGATTCCCTGTCAGCTAGACAGAACCAATTCTCATCATCCGGCGTCACATAAACCAGCACTTTCAGAAGTGGTTCTGCTTTGATGCTGATCTGTGCAGATGAGCTTGCGTGTCTGTTTAGTATAGTGAAGGCCATGCTGACATCACTGACTGGTCTGTTCAGGTTGCAGAGAAGGTCAATAGAGGTTTGACAGGAGGCGATCAATAGCAATGCTGACTGCAAGGCCAGTAAATGAGGGGGATGGGATACAAACACAACATGTAAACACCATAGCATGCACTGGGCTCTGTATCAGACACTTTTTAATGCCTTTAGGTTGTCCGGATGACTGAGCACTTCTATTGTGCCACTGCCACAAGACCTGTGTCTTATCTCAACGCATAGATTAATATTTAATAATGGCCTTTCCATTAGAGTGTATCACCCTTTTAGCAAGTGTGCACTGCACTCTCCTGGAGTTACGCTGATAAAAACCTTTGGAGTTTTCAAGCATGAAATGCAGTTTTTATCGAGTGTTATTTATAACACCTACAATCTCTCACTTTTTCTTTTTTGGTTTTAAAAACCACTGGACAAAGCAATGTCTATCAAAACAGTATTGTTTAAATGACACGAACAAAAATAGTACAATAATGACTTCACAAAACAATAGTGTAATCATAAAAAAAAAAAAATATATATATATATATGTGTATATGTATGTATTACCATTCATTACCTATTAATGTTTTCTTTGAAAGAAAATGAATACTTCTATTTTAGCAAGGATGCATTAAATAAATCAAAATTGACAGGAAATGCTTTTACATTGTTCTATTGTTCTAAAAATTGTATCAATGTATTCACACTTTCTGCAAAAAAATATTAAGCAGTACAATTGTTTTCAACATTGATATTAATAAGAAATGTTTCTTGGGTAAAAAATAATAATTTCTGAAGGATAATTTGACAGTAAAGCTGTCACGGATGGGTGTGTAGATAGGAAGCACAAGGAGACGAGGAAATAACTATGAACAGGAATTTAATGAACAAGGCACTCAGGAGATGCACACATACCATAAGAACGTAACATATACAATAACCGACCAGGAGTGAGGGAGAACACTGGGTTTACATACACAGGGAATGGGTCATGGCAACAAGACACAGCTGGGGCAAATTAACTAGACACAGGTGGAGGAACTGAACACAAACGAGGAGCGGGAAAACTGAGACACAGGACTAAACCAAAACACAGAGACGGGGAAAACTAAGAAACACAGGTCATACTTGTGACATTACCCCCCCCTCCAAAAAAGGCGCGTCCTCGCGCTGTACAAAATCCAAAGGGGTGGGAGGGTGGGCGCCCTGGAGGCTGACGAGGGTATAGTTCCACGGGAATAGAAAGCCTCCAGGGCGGACTAGGCTGTGGGTCTTGCCAAGGGGGAGCTGGACATGGACGTGGGCGTGGCCAAGGCGGAGCTGGATGTGGGCGTGGCCAAGGCGGAGCTCTCGGGTAACCGGGAGTCCAAGGTGGAGATGGACGAGGGCGTGACCACGGCGGAGCTTTCGGAACCTCTGGAGTCCAAGGCGGAGCTGGACGAGGGCGTGACCACGGCGGAGCTTTCGGAACCTCTGGAGTCCAAGGCGGAGCTGGACGAGGGCGTGACCACGGGGAAGCTTTCGGAACCTCTGGAATGCAAGGCGGAGCTTGACGTGGCCAAGGTGGAGCTTGATGTGGCTGTGACCACGGCGGAGCTTTTGGGACCTCGGGAGTCCAGGGTGGATCTATCCCTTCAGGTGACCATGGCAGTGCTGCCCCTTCGGGTGGCCATGGTGAAGGCGTATAGCCCCCCCCCAAAATTTTCTTGGGGAGAAGAACGGGTTTCAGCTCAGGCTCAGGAACAGTCTCTGGCTGGATGGCGGTCTCTGGCTGGACGGCGGTCTCTGGCTGGACGGCGGTCTCTGGCTGGACGGCGGTCTCTGGCTGGACGGCGGTCTCTGGCTGGACGGCGGTCTCTGGCTGGACGGCGGTCTCTGGCTGGACTTCGGCGGGACGAGACTCTGGAGGGCTGGTCTCGGCGGGACGAGACTCTGGAGGGCTGGTCTCGGCGGGACGAGACTCTGGAGGGCTGGTCTCGGCGGGACGAGACTCTGGAGGGCTGGTCTCGGCGGGACGAGACTCTGGAGGGCTGGTCTCGGCGGGACGAGACTCTGGAGGGCTGGTCTCGGCGGGACGAGACTCTGGAGGGCTGGTCTCGGCGGGACGAGACTCTGGAGGGCTGGTCTCGGCGGGACGAGACTCTGGAGGGCTGGTCTCGGCGGGACGAGACTCTGGAGGGCTGGTCTCGGCGGGACGAGACTCTGGAGGGCTGGTCTCGGCGGGACGAGACTCTGGAGGGCTGGTCTCGGCGGGACGAGACTCTGGAGGGCTGGTCTCGGCGGGACGAGACTCTGGAGGGCTGGTCTCGGCGGGACGAGACTCTGGAGGGCTGGTCTCGGCGGGACGAGACTCTGGAGGGCTGGTCTCGGCGGGACGAGACTCTGGAGGGCTGGTCTCGGCGGGACGAGACTCTGGAGGGCTGGTCTCGGCGGGACGAGACTCTGGAGGGCTGGTCTCGGCGGGACGAGACTCTGGAGGGCTGGTCTCGGCGGGGCGTGACTCTGGGATGATGGCCCACTTGGCAGCACGTATAGACATCAGCGGGGGTTCGGACACGCTGGAAATCATCCCTGGATGGCCATAAACGGATCCGGTGTCTGACCTGACAGTTGACACAAGTGCGGCGTTCAGATTCTCAGGCTGGGCGGGCGAGATGTGCACTGGCTCTGGATGGGTGGTTTCCTCTCCGTGAGTGTCGCAGGGCCCGACGGTAAATGGCGACCCATTATGGAGAAGCACCCACTCGACGAAAGTCTCAAAGTTCTCTCGAGGTCCCAAACCGGGTAGGTGTGCCTTAGTCTCTGCATTGAGGCCAGTGTGGAAGAAAACACTCAATGAGCGATCGGGGAAAGAGCTAAGGCATGCCAGGTCGAGATAAGCCGTGGTGTGAGCCTCGAGAGATTGCTGGCCTTGTTCCAGCAACATCAGCTGCATCGAAGCATTCATCGTTGATTTTGGGTCGGTTATTCTGTCACGGATGGGTGTGTAGATAGGAAGCACAAGGAGACGAGGAAATAACTATGAACAGGAATTTAATGAACAAGGCACTCAGGAGATGCACACATACCATAAGAACGTAACATATACAATAACCGACCAGGAGTGAGGGAGAACACTGGGTTTACATACACAGGGAATGGGTCATGGCAACAAGACACAGCTGGGGCAAATTAACTAGACACAGGTGGAGGAACTGAACACAAACGAGGAGCGGGAAAACTGAGACACAGGACTAAACCAAAACACAGAGACGGGGAAAACTAAGAAACACAGGTCATACTTGTGACAAAAGCGTTGCCATCATAAGAATAAATTACATTTTGAAATGTATTACAAAAAAAAAAATGTATTATCGTATTTATGATTAAAGAAAGAGCGTAAGATACTTTTTTAAGAAAACATTTTAAAAAATCTTACTAACCCTAATTTTTTGAACGGTACTGTATGTATAATTAGTGTAATGTATAATAATTAATTATATAAATATACTTTGACTACAATCAGATTCCCTCAAGAATCTCACAAAGGGAAATTTATTAAAATAAAGTTTTATCTCAACAACGTATGTGAGCTTTCATAGCCAATTAATAAGACTCCTACTGTATCCATTATTAATCCTATTGGGCTGTATATTTATCAGATGTGTATTTTGCCACTGTTGAGGAACTAAGAGCTTTGCTTATAGTAAACTGAAGATTATCTGTCTGGAACAGTACCACTAAAGGCAAAATTTAGACGACTTTACTGCCCAAATAGAACATTTGTATGGAAGAATATACAGCATGTCATTGTCACAGCTTGTTTTGCACCTGTAACATTCCTTTAAAACAAGTAGTACTTCGCTCAGTTAAACAGGATGTTAATGTTGATGACTTGTTTTTGTTTGTTTTTTAATTTCAGTTCATGAGTACCACGTCAGCATCGGCAGCCGAACTCAGTACCGCTCCTCTTGGACTCTGACAGACGGTGTTGAGTGTGGACATTGAGACTGCCAGACAGCAGGTTGGGTAAAATCTGCAAAAATTACTTTTTTCCCCTCTACATAATCTCTCCATCAAATAAATCCTCAGTCTAGTTTAGTCACAGTACAGCTTATATTAGTTTTTGTTCTTCCAATAGGCTTAGCCGATATATTTTTAGATGTGATGCTACACTTGTAAAAGTTTGTGTTCGTCCCTGAAGGTCACTTGAGTTCCCATGATGCCCTTGGAGCAAGACACTTAACCTTCATATGCTCCCAGGCAGCTGACTGTCCCTCAATTGGCCTACTGTTAAGCAGCTTTGGCTGAGAAAAATATCTGCTAAATGGCAAGTAGCTAAAGTGTAATTGATAGCTCATAATGAGATCACACTCACCTCTAAGTCAGTATTACACACATCTCCAGCAACAGTTGAATATCAAAAGATTCATAATTGCCTTAGAATTGACCAGTCATCTCATCTGTACAGTTTCACTCTGATATTATTTGTACACAGATGAGCTTTTTTAAGGACTTTAAGCTCTCCATAGGCCCACTGACACATGATACTGTATTTTAAGCTGTGTGTGCTTAGCGTGCAGGGATTTGCATACTAAGATTAGTTATTTTGTTTCTATAATGTCCTCAAGTGACCCATGTTCATGTAACTTACATGCGTAAGTTTATATATTATCATCATTAGTAAATACTACTTCTGTGTTGTCATGCAACATTTGTATTTCGTTGGCGATGTTCGGAATTGCATACTAGCATTGCACACTACTCTTATAATTTCTGCAGTATACACTACCGTTCAAAGGTTTGGGGTTAGTAAGATGTTTTTGAAAGATGTATTTAATCACCAAGGCTGCATTTATTTGATCAAAATACAGTAATATTGGGAAGAAATATTATTACAATTTAAGTTTTTTATTTTAAAATGTAATTTATTCCTATATGGGCAACATTGACTTTTTAGCAGCCATTACTCCAGTCTTTAGTGTCACATGATCCCTTAGAAATCATTAGAATATGCTGATTTTGTGATAAAAAATGTTGATTTATAATTGTTTAGTGATCAATGTTGAAAACAGTTGTGTTGCTTAATATTTGTGTGGAAACCGTGATACTTTTCTGAGGAATTTAAATAGATAAATAGGCATTTATTTGTAATACAAAACTTTTGTAACAATATAAATGTCTCTACAGTATCTTCTGAACTGTTTAATGCTTTCTTGCAGAATAGAAGAGAAAAGAAAAAATAAATGAAATCTTACTTATCCCAAACTTTTGAACAGTAGTGTAAATTGGCCACCACATGCAGATATTATTGGCAGAGAATACCCGAATACCCTACTATTTGCTCCAGATTTGCCAACAAAGCACTCTGCGTGAAATACTGTATCCCATTATGTAATGCACTCAGATTTCCATGTGAAAATAAACTGGAAGTAATTTCAGTAAAAAATCTTTTTTTTTTTTTAAATCCTGATATGATAACTGGAAATCACTCACTAAATTCCAGAGGTCAAGTTTGGCTGGTTAGCATGACCCAACTTTCAGCAGCCAAAAGTTGTCTTTCTCTATTGATGGCCATTCAAAACTAGCCATGTGTTTTAACAAAATAAAATGTTTTGCTAGCAATATACAAATTGGCTGGTTTTTGTTTTTGTTTTGTTATAACAGATATTTTATCAGTGGCCATTTTCGGAAGGTCCTTTAAAACCTTTTAATATTTGTTTTAAATTATTTAATTTTGCATTATTGTGGTGACACCAGCCAGTCGGCATATTGTTTAAAACTATAAATTCAACATATAAATAATTAATAATAAATCCAAAATGCAGTATACTAGTATTCCGAATATAGCCTTTTGTTGCAGCGTATGCAGGTTGTAACGCACTCTTTTTTTTTTTACTTCCTGAACCCTAATAACTCCACACATCAAAATAAAAGGAAGATGGCAACCACAGCGACCCCTGAGCCCCTTACTGCCCTCTCTCGTTGGTACCTATATGCCATCCACGGTTACTTCTGTGAAGTCATGTTCACGGCTGCCTGGGAGTTTGTGGTGAACTGCAACTGGAAGTTTCCTGGTGTGACGAGTGTGTGGGCGCTCTTCATCTACGGAACCTGCATCCTGATCGTAGAGCGCATGTATCTGTGTCTGCGGGACCGCTGCAATGTGCTTCTCCGCTGCATCATTTATACATTGTGGACATATCTGTGGGAGTTTGGCACGGGTTTGCTGCTTCGGCAGTTTAACGCTTGTCCGTGGGACTACTCTGAGTTTAAATATAACTTCATGGGCCTGATCACGGCAGAGTACGCCGTGCCTTGGTTCTGCGCCTCCTTTATCGTTGAGCGCCTAGTGATACGCAACACGCTCCGGTTGTGCTTCGACGAGGCTGTCGGGCCCGGCCAGGCTGAAGAACTGTCGGACAGAGGCGGAGAAGGAAGAGCAGGGAGTGGGAGAAGAGGAAGAGGGGCAACCAGCGCAAACGGCTACGTGAAGGGGGATTGAGGAGGTTTTCGACACCTTCCCCCCCCCCCCATCTCAAACCTCCCGTCACCCATGACTCTATCCGCACATATCGTAGTCTCTCTCCCACCTGCTTCCAGGGAAAGAGTCGCTCAGACACAGTTGGTGCAGCTCCAACTGAGACACTTGCACAACTGTGAGGAACTTTCTGATTTTATATAGATCGTCCAGCTGGCGTTCTTCGTTCATGTGGAGGGATGTTAATTTGCCACCTTAGTGCTCAACATTTACTGTCCTCACTTCGGGCGAGTAGCTATTAAGTTCAAGGTTTGTCAGTAGGAGTGGTGCCCGGTGGCAAAATGAGAATGAACACACCTCTTCCACTATACCTCCCAAACCAGTCCATCCACTCCAGACTCTCTGGGAAGGGACAAACAAATTGACTTGTGTTCTCTCGTCCAAAAAAAAAAAAAAACGCAGACACATCACTTGAAAAGAGATATAGCCTACAGTATCAATGCTTTTAACAAAGCGAGTCCTTTTAGATTATAAACACGGTCCATGATGTATATGTAGTTGGAAATGCAAATAACTGTTAGGATAAAAGCTTACCTTTTGAATGTTAGTTTGTGTTATTTATTAATATCTAAAATGTAGTTAAGAAATGATAATATATTAAAAATGTATTGTGTATATATATATACTGTATAACCTAAAGCAATGCCTTGTACTTGAATTTGGTGTTTTTTTATATTCATCAAAATATTCAGTGCTTGAACGTGCATGAAAGTTGTCTTCCAGGAGATTTGTTTCATTCTGAGACTGATCTTCGATGTTGTGTACAATTTATTTCCTCCGTTTTTAATTATTTAAAAAAAAAAATATTTTCTCATGGAGATGAACACACAAAGGAGTACTGTATTGTTACATATATAGAGTCCGGGTGCTCAGCACTGAAACCATAAAAACATCACAGTATCCTGTTTTTTTCACTGGAGAGAATGTTATTGTGTGTTTATGAACTGGTGCTAGATCCTCATTGAGTCGTGTTGAGGGATCTGACAATGGTCACAATAAAGGCATTAATATGTAGGTTCACTGACCTCAGGTATGTCAATTTTAATTGTTTCACCTCCGTCTCTCATATGCCATTGAATAATGGATGAAAATTGAGAAAAATATTGTGGCAATTTTTAAAAAAAAAAAAGCCAACATCACCTTGGTATTACCCGCATGGTTACAGTTAAAGGTTGTGGATTTGCCAGAAAGTTTTGCTTAACTGTATTGGTTATTATGTTGTTATTGACCAAACTAAAAATGTATTAAAACCACCTATTTCTGAATGCAAGTCCTGTCAGATTTCCCTTCAATATTATTGGTTATAAAACATTTATAAAGTGAAAAAGTCTTAGTATTTATTTTAACCTTCTACAAAATGTGCAATATAAATATACATGTTATTTTCATAGCTTTAGTTGTGCATCTATTGTTTTGAAGTTTATTGTAATGTCACAGCACTTTGCATGTTTGTCTCTTTGGTGTGCTATATGATTGTCAAATGTATACATTTTAAATGATTATCAAGAACTGGTGAATGGTGCTATTCTGCCCCCTTGAAATTTCACATTCGTATTTGTAAGCGGTGTGCAGCTTTTGTGTTCCTGCTTTATCACACTCTATACAATAATGTCATAATACGGATCAGTCCCTCATACAAGGACCATTTCAACAGAGGTGCAGCAGAAATGGAGACGTTCCTCAATGCCATGTCTATGTCTGTTCCCCTCGGTCATGCATTCAGGCAATGGCGATTTGATGTTCGGAAGCAATGCAATAAGTGCTGTTATGTGAATTTCAATTGAATTTGCGATTTCAAGCAAATAACCTGCAATTCACACTTTCATACATTTGACAGTTGTTGTTTTTTTCAGTTAATTAAAACAGTGATGGTTTTACATATAGATTGTCAATGTTGAAAGGCAGTGACAGTGATCCTTCTCATGTAAAAACACAACAACTAAAGAGACTGAAAGAAGATGGCCTGGAAGATGACCAGTCTGTGACAGTGTTCTTCCCTTGCTGCTGTCCCGAACAGTCACCTAGGATCAGTTTGTTGGATAGGGGAGTAGTACCAAATTTATGGCAGACCTGACACTGAAGCCAATAAGCATTGTTTAGTGCAGGGGTTTTCAATCTTTTCGATTCCACTGACCATCATCATCATCATCATGTGAGGGACCTCCATCTTAAGATAAATAAGGCACTTATATATTTACAAGTATAAAGAATGCACCAAGTGTATTTCAGGCCAAGCAACAAGCGTACAATCAATGTAGGGTGCTTCTCAATCGAAAGGCTGCATCCTAGTAAGGCTGCATGTCTCGGCTGCTATGTCATCAAGCTCCATCAAAGGACGTCTCAATTTAATGGATCCTTTGTTTCGCAATTTGCATCCTTCATTCAGCCTGTTTTGAAGGATGCATCAAGTGAGTCCTCCAATCACCCACAATCCTTTGCACACATTCCAATTCACAAAAAAAGAATTGGCAAAAAATGAATCGCATTGAGTTTTTCCACAACAATAAAATAAAAAAGATAAAAATAGATTTTGTTGTAAAATAATCAATGCTTAACTGTGCGTAATGTAAAGATTGTTGCCATTTCCTATACTGCGTTAATATAAAGGCAGTTGTCATAAAGGTCTTTACAAAGTATTTTTCAGATTATAATTTTACTAGTATTTTGGTGTCGTGACCGTGGGGGCACTTACTAAACCGCAAGCCTCCAAATGACTGGATGGACACACCCTCACTAGATTGGCCTTCCTTTTTGAGAGTCACCAGCAGTGTTGGGGTAGTTACTCAAAAAAGGTAATTAGTTACTAGTTACTAGTTACTTCTGTAAATTGTAATGAGATTACTTTACTAGTTACTGCGTTTGAAAAGTAACTTCACTACTTATTACTTTACTTTCCTGTTTCTTAATTTATGGACAAATATCATAGCCCTATCATCACTTAGCCTGTCTACATAGTGTTTATTGTATAAATATATACAAAATAGCATGTAAAACCATATGAAAGAACAATATCCCTGTCTGCACAAGGAAATATATCTCACTGTAAAATCCACAAACAACAGGATAAAGGAGGCTATGGTGCGGTCATTTTAAAATGGGGTCAACACACAAGTTTTAAAACACAGGCTTTGGGAAACATGAGAATAAACTCTTCTCCTGAGAACAAAACAAGCTTTTTATTCGACTCATGGCAATAAAAATAAAAAATGAAGTGGTCAATGAAAAATAATAAAATAAAGGTCACTTTTACATTTTTTATCTTAATTTAAAATGCATTTTTCTTGGCGATTCAATAGTCGGCAGGGGAAGCATTCCTCTACAATGAACCCTGCAACAAGCCTGTTCATTTTGTTTTGTGTTACCTGCTGTGCTCCAAGACTTGAGAAGAGTTTTTGTAACAGCGCGCGCGGCGCCGAATCCGAGGATGAACGACTTCAAGAATTAAGCCGAATCTGCCCAAGCATGTAGCCTACGTCTCACCGTGACCGCACCGGCACACAGTTTGCGTGTCTAAATCAGTTGCTTATGTTTACAAAATGAGCCTACAATAGCATAATAAGCATTTTTAATAGAAAGATCCATGTTTTATAAAATGTCCACGAAACTTAATGAAATGTTTAGTGAAATTAGAAACTATTTAAGAGATCGTTGATTTAGTTCTATAGTCTACATACATGTTTTTATATCCACATTTTGTTCTAATGTCACAAGTAATAATCTCAGGGTTTACTGGATTTTACGTACACGATTCTTTTTGTAGTGTTATTGGTGGTGATGTAGCCTACTAAAATAAACACCATCACGTGTGGACCTTTCTTCTTCTCACCGTTGATTCCTGATGGTTAAGAGGACAATTACTCGAGTCGCCCCGTCGTTTCACAGAATAGTACAATGGCGAGCGCGTCGAGTATAAACGCCTCGTCCGTTTGGGGAGGTGCGCGTGCAGTCAGCGGAGACTCGCGCTGCAGAGACCCCCTGTCTCCGTCTCCGTCTCCATTTCCCTCTCTCCTTCGCACCGGCAGCTATGTCACTCAAATCGATCTCTATGGCAACGGTGCGCACGCACCACTAGACAGAACTTTACACACAAGCAAACACGGCTTGGGTAACGCAGGAAAGCGCGTTCCTATAGTATAGTAAAGTAGTGTAGTTACCGATATTTTTAGTGTAATGCGTTACTTTACTTCGTTACCCAAAAAAGTAATATCGTTACTGTAATCCGTTACTTTGTAACTCGTTACCCCCAACACTGCTTAAGCTGGACAGTGACGGTAAATTCTTCTGGAAACAAACTTTGTTGCATTATGTTACTGTTATTATCTCTGTCTCACCAGAAGATGGCGTCCGAGTTCACAGTATGGCGTGGCGTGATGTGTATAGGGGCAATTTTGGATACAACCAGAGAAGTGCTATCTCTGACTGCATTTTGCTGTTGTGAACCATTCAACTGAGTCGTTCACGAACAAAACAAGTAAGTATTATTAGAAGTTAGGCTACATGTGTGACTAGAGATGTCTCGTTCAGTGCGGCACGAGTCAGACTCCAAAAAGCGACTCGTTCAGTGAATGGAGAGCCATTGAAAAAATTATTTAACGGCTCTGAGTGAATGGTGCGTATCGTAATAAACATATTCAACCAATGAAATGCTCCTTCACAGCCCCTTCTAAATGAAATTGGCCATTGCTCGTCTTCTGAGGGCAGATAATCAAACGCCTCAGATGGAGGCCTTCGGACGCCTAATGTGGACGAGGGGAAAAACTTTACAGTCTATGGGGAAAAACCATAAAACGCCTGCTCTGTTATTCACCGAAGAAGATTATTGTCTAACTCAGTGTTTCTCAACCGTAGCTGATACTCGAAAGATGTTTACCTGAAAATTTCCCATATTCGTAGTCTACCACAAAATCTTGCAAATAATAGGTAAGTTACTACTGTAATTAGGTCTCAGATTTTGTTAGGCTGCACCGAGATGTTAGTGAACATGCTGACGCTTCTCGAATCTGTTCCAGCGGCGAAGCACTTTATTATTATTTTTATCAGCGGTTAATCTGTGCACTGAAATTGTTAAATGCAGGTTAATCTATAAATGTGATGCTGTCACTTGATCGCTAGATGGCGTCGCACCACCACAAGAATCTGGATTTGGAGCCTTTACCAACACGTTGAAGGTAATTATTGCTTCTGCTAACCTACCTCAGTTTCTACAGCTGTTGTTAAAAGTATAAAAATCATTATAAAATAATCTCATAAGAACTTTTTTGTCTTTTTCTTTTGTTTTTTCTTTTGATGACATGTATGATACCAAGTTATTATTGTTGTATAGTAGCCACCATACATGTAAGCTACCATAATATTCATACACATTTGCAGTTTCAGGATTTTGTTCCAGGGTATGTGGTATGTTTTGTTATCTTTTAGAGAATATGATATCTTTAGGCTGTGTGAGCTGTGTGTGTATTTCTGTGTCAGACTGGTCCACACCTCATATCCACGTCAGCTTGTATAACCTACAATGGTTTGAATCTGCAGTTTATTATATGAACGTGACATCTTAGTCCATTTAGCCGGTTTTGCTTTCTATCAAAATACTAGAGACTTTAGGCCAGATTATACTATTTATGATAGTTTTTTTTTCTTCTTTCAATATTCATTTCAGAACTTCGGAAAATGTACCAGCTCATTTAGCTTCAGACATTTACATTTGATCGTATGCTGTCACTTAATCCACACAATTCAGTTTAATCCATGTGTCACCATATATCATTGAAAGGCTTTTCAACCTATGCACTCTCTTTCTTTTCTCCAGTTTCCTGCCCTTTTTTGTAGACTGTCAAAAATCCCTTGCGGCTATCTAAGGCGATTATGTGTCACCACAAATCCTTCATTTGCGATTTGGTAACTCTTCTCTCATCTCCTTTGATTGCAGTGACAGCTCACCTATGAGCTCACCTGATTGTGGTGGGTGTGGTCTGCTTTAAAAAAAAACACCCAGGCTCCGCCTCCAGCAGCGACACAGCCAATCAT